CTCGACATAGAAGAATTAAGGACAAGGATGCTCATTTTGCACTTCGTAATGCATTAATAGATCATTTATGGGAGAATACTAGAGGTTGAAGTTGAATATTTATGTAGTATTTCGAATGAATTTTATCGTTATGTAATATGTATTTAATTAATCTTGTATCGCAATGATTTCACTTTTATTTGAATTATTAGTTAATCTATAATAATTGCTTACAAATTATATTATTTAAAATTTTATGAAATTATTTTAATGAAAATTACAAATTAATGAAAATAAAAGATGGAATTTGTTTAATGGAAATTAAAAAAGAAAATTGAAATGAAAGATAATAATATAATATAGAAGAGAGAAGAATATAAAAAAGAATATTCTCTTTTGGGGAGGAAATGGAGAAATGGTTGGAGTAAGTTGTCTCTAAAATGGAAAAATCCCCATTTTGGGGACCAAAATAGGGGTAAAGGTCGGAGATGCCCTTAAGAAATCAGTCACATTAGTGTTGTGGACCTGTGGGAAACCCCACATTAATTTTGGCTGGTGGTTCAGCAACATTAGGGATTGAATCGACTATATTGACTTTTAATAGAACCCAACTCGCTTTCTTATTCTTTATTCATTAATCATTACAAATGCAATAACGTAAATGGCACGAGCCCAGATTAAAAGGAAAAAATCAAACAAGTTCAGTAATTTGTTTGAAGATGTTGAAAATTACGTTTATTTAGTATTCATATAAATTTAACATGAATATGTTCCTTGAACAACCTTAATTAACTCAAGCAGTGTCACAATTGAGATGGATGATACACTGAGAAAAGTAGAAGTTAGGAAAATAGTTATTCACCTAACAAAAAGACTATAATGATAATTGGCCAACAATATAAAGCTTTACAACTCAAAATTAACCATTAAATCATTTTCAACATTCTATATCAACCGTGATGTCAGGAAATTTTTTGAGCTAGCATCAATTAACTTTGATAACATCCTTAAGAAAAACAAGAAAATATAATCCAAATTAATCTAAACTTGGCGTGTGGGCAATTCCAACCACCTTAGTCAAGTTAACGTACATCCTATAAATATCATTATCGATTGTGTTAATTAGTCACACACTTCTTAGAGTCACTAACTTAATTATCATTCAAAACAATTTGGCACCTCTAGTAGAACTGTAGTGCACCCATGGCTACTGAACCCGAAAAGGTTGTTGCACCTGCAGAGGCATCGGTGGCAGAGCCAGAAAAGGCGGCTCTGCCACCGACGACGGCTCCCACCGACTACTTTGCGGTGGCGGATGTGGTGTTGAGGTTGTTAGTATTTGCTTCGGCATTAGTTTCTGTGGTGGTCATGTCAACTAGTAAGCAAACGGAAATGGTCCCAACACCATTTCCACCTTACCGAGCTCCTCTCCCTGCTAAGTTCAATCATTCACCAGCACTTATGTAAGTTTTAGATATCTTCTCTTTGGTCAACATAATATACGTGTGTCTCACTTTTATATACTGCCAGTGTAAAATAATTTTTGTACTATCAAGTTACGAAAAAGATATGTACACATAACCCATTCATATAAAAAGTTGAATTAGTAACCTCAAAATAAGTTAAGACTACATAGAAATTACCTTGTACTTTCCAAGTTATATGGATAGGATTTAACGTATACACGTGAAATTTTAAAGGATTTTTGCACTTGGGAGGGTAGTGATCTTTTAATAGCCAAATTTTAAAGGGGTATTGACCCCAAAAAGAAAAAAGAAAAAAGAAAAAAAGAAAGAAAGAAAGCGGAAACGGAAAAATATTGATGTGTTGCGAAGACCAATGTCAGCGAAGATTATTGTGAACTGTGATAAAATTTAAGAAGCCTTAACTAAGGTATGACTTTGTCATGGGACGTAGCAGATTTTTCAAATAGTAATATAGTACACTGATACGGGCGGCAAACGGGCGAGTCGGGGCGGGTCAGATATGAGCGGGTCGAAAACGGGTAGTGTAAAAATGAATAAATTATTCAACCCGACCCATATTTAATACGGATAAAAAGTGGGTTAACCGGCGGATAATATGAATATGATTACTTTTGGGAGAATTCTTAATCTCTTAAACTTGAGGAACCTCCAATTTGAGGCTTTACAAATGTAAAACTCATTAGTTATCCATTTTCTAAGTAGATAATATGGTTCTTATCCATATTTGACCCGTTTTTAAAAGTTCATTATCCAACCCATTTTTTTAAAGGGATAATATGGGTGGATAACTGTTTTCTTTTAATTATTTTGCCACCACTAAGTACACATATATTATTTTTCATGGTAGGACATGATACGATAATTATCAAAGAAAAAAATCATTTGATCATATATGTGTGGGCCGACACATAATATACTGGCAACCAAAACTATACACAAAACATTATCTGCAAAGCCTCTAAAAATGAAATGTCATCAGTGGGTTGAAAAGATAGTATATTACTTAGTACGTAAGAGAAAAACTGTTGAAATATAGTTGATTAGGAAGAGAAAATTATTATGATTAGTAAGACTCATCCATCACCAATCACATGCTGTGATCATTTAATTTGTTAGTATGATTATAAGAAAGGTTAAACTTATTTCTTTCAAGAGAGCAAATTAAATAAATTCTTAGATGTTGTGTGTAGCCGGAATTTTGCGTAATTGCATTTTAACAAGCATTTCCTCCTGTCCATTTTAGTTGTCATGGTTCTTAAATTTCTAAAATACCTATCATTTTAGAAAATAAGATATAATTGTTTTTATTTTTAATTTGCCCTTGGTATTAACTGTTCTTGAAGGTAAAAAACATTGATTACATAGCATAAACAAGTAATAAACTTGTTGTCCTTACTAATAGTTTCTTAAGGGACAAGTAAAAGAAAAACACTACAATTAAAATGGACCGAAAGAAATATTATTTGTGGGAACACGATTTAATAAGAATTTCCTGCCTTTAATTTGAGATGATTATTTCGAGCTTTCCATTTTACCTTTTTGGTGACTTAGACCCGCAATAACAATCCTCCTCTTTAACAACTCACAACTTGAAGGACAGAGCCACTTTTTTCATTGTTATTAAATTCAATATTGACTGGAACTTTGTGTATTTATTCCCCTCGATTAAATGCAATCGAGGGTGGTTGCTAAGCCAACTCTTTTCTTTTTTCGTTCTTTTGTTTTTATTGTTATACTATATTATGTGGGAGTTTGGACATAAGAATTGTAAAATTTTAAAAACAAAGTGAAAAAATTTTTAAGTGAAAATGGTATTTGAAAATTAGAATTGTGTTTGGACATGAATATAATTTTGGGTTGTTTTTGAAGTTTTGTGAGTGATCAAGTGAAAATTGGAAAATTTATGACCAAACGCCAATTTCGAAAAAAAAATTAAAAAAAATTAAAAAAAAGGGAAATATTTCTTATGTCCAAACGGCCTCTATATTTCGTTATTGACTGGAATTTTTGTATCTATTCTTAGTCAATAATAATTCTGAAAATATGTGAACACAAAACAAGCAAGTGGATTTAAAGCGGCCTCAACTGGCTATTTTATTTATGAGTCAAATCTCATTATTAGGATTCGTCTTGATTCTGTCAAATTCTTTTATCTTTATATCATTTAATACATAATAAAATATCTCCTGACTATACTGTTAGTTACACCTATCTTTTTACCACTTGATTATCAATTCAATTCTTCATTTCGACTAAATAATGTTGGTTACATTTGAACATTTCCAACTGACTTCAGAAAGTTTCTAGAAAGCTACCTAACACAGAATTATTTATGTTGCAGCTATTTTATAGCAGCACTCTCTGTGGCTGGTTTTTTCAGCATACTTACTACACTTGGCTCCTTGTACTCCCTCACTAAGCCTGGTTGCTCTGCAAAGATCATTTCCCATTTCATTATCATTGATGTTGTAAGTTCTTACACTCTTTTATGTTTTCATATTTCTAATAGGGTGCAACCACCCCTAAAACACACACGGAAAATACTACGTGGTCCTACTCAGTTCAAAACTAAACTAGTTGATTCTCTTTGGGTGCCGGCTTTAAACAACCTTCATATTTCCTGCTGAGCTTTCAAGTCTCCAAGTGGTCCCTCTTGACCATCCGCAACCTTGGCTTTTTAGCGAGATACTCAGTTCAGAACTAAACTAGTTGATTCTCTTTGGGTGCCAGCTTTAAGCAACCTTCATATTTCCTGCTGAGCTCCCAAGTCTCCAAATGGTCCCTCTTGACCATCCGCAACCTTGGCTTTTTAGCGAATCTCGCGCATATGTCGCAGAATTTATAGCTCGAGAGTCCACCGGGTGGATTTGTTTATCCTTCCGATTCGAGTCTCTTCTTGAACAGTTACAGCGTCCCATAGGCGTGGTATGTACCTTGTGAGGGGTGGTGGGGCAGGGTGGGGTGGGGTTGTAAACTTTCTTGATTGTCTTATTCTTCAACCATGGATTAGAATGTGGCTCAAGTATCTCCAATGGTAGTGGATATTATGCTCGAGGTTTCTCGAGACTTCGGTTGTATCAACGCTTCCATATTAGGGGTTATGAAATTCCGGTATGAACTTTTTGTTACAATCAAGATTGTGTCTTACTGGTCTAATAATTCCTGCTTCCGCTTAGGTTCTAAGAATACTGTTTACTATCACTATGGCATGACTATGGATAAAATCCTGGCTCCACCACTCACCGCTCACGAGTGTAATTTTTATGTATATTTGCAGATTTTGCTAGGTATAGTTGCATCAGCAACCGGAGCAGCAGCAGCAGTGGCATACATAGGACTAAAAGGCAACACTCATGTGGGGTGGGGAAAAGTTTGCAACATGTATGGCAAGTTCTGCAGATACCTTGGAGCTTCCATTGGAGTCTCATTGTTTGCGACCGTTATGCTTCTACTTCTTGTTCTTCTCTCTGTATACTCCCTTTCTAAGAAGATCCCAAAGTAAACAAGCTAGCTATGAAAAGTCAATTCTTGATGTATAGTAGAAAACGCCTTGTTAAATGTCAGCATGTGAGTCTGTAATTAAGTACTGTTCAAGTTTCTGTTCTTTGTGTATGTTTGTCTCTTTTCTCGTACAGCCTGTGTTTATCTAGACATTGCACCAGTGTTTGTATATGAATTCAATCATCTCTACCTGTTTTGGGATTACCAAAAGTTTCCAATTTACGGTGTTTTACTTCATTTAGTTCTAATGGTACACCAGCAGACTATCTGCATTTTGGATTCAAATATAGGAAAACCTACTGGTGAAGCATATAAAATGTGAAGAGTGGCTAACTGATTAATTAACCACAAAGTTACTCCACTGATTGATATTTCTAACAAACGGAAAACATTTGAAGCTAATGAATACCTGCTGCCTTGCTGGTATCTGAGGCATCCATTCGCGTAACTAACCCTACATTTAACAGATGGAGTTTTCAGGTCTCAATATTATGGACTTGAAGTTGTAGTTTAACAGGATCGAGTGAACACCTCATATGTTGGACAGCGTTCACTAGAAATAAAAAACTATGCAGTAGTAGGTAATCAGATAACTTGTAAGAAATGCTATCTATAATGGAAAGACTGGAGTATTTCCAATACTTACACATGCATGGATTAACAGTATATGCACAATCTTCTAAATAACACCGGTAAAAAACAGAATGAACCAAGAAAAAGTAAAACTATAATGTTGGACGATGTCCAGAACCAAACAAATGTTGCTGTTCAAACTAGCCAAGAACAGATATTCAATTCTTATGCATTCAGTTCATCAACCCACACCTTTGACTTGCTTTCACACCTATCATCTTATGACATACGATGTAAGATATCTTTATCTAGATTTTGAGTTAAATTATTACTAGGATTTTTCTTCGGTGAGCATAAAGGCTATCATGTTAATCATATGAAAGAAGCACTTCCAAACTAAGACAAGTTATTACGATCAGACAATTACATATCAATTGCAAGCACAGAGGAAGGTAAAACTTAAAAAGAATTGAGGAAGAAGAAGAGTGGAACCTATTAGTAATTGCTAATTAGTCAGAACCATACAAAAAGGGTGAGCCTTACGGATGAAAGGCTCTCTACGGACTCTAAAATTTGCGAACCAATTGTGCGCAAAGATGTATAGTTGCAAAATCCGGGTTTGGGGAGTGGGCTGCCTAGATTTGAAGGCCACATTTTAAACTAAATAAACCAGACAATCGCATACAAATTAAGTCAACCATGACTGCAATGACCAGTCCTATAAATAATGTATATCAGTTAACTTGTATAAAGCTTTTTCAGTACTTATACATATATTACCATAGCATATGACCAACTCTGACATAACATCTATCATCTTCTGAAACTGAAACTCTAAAACTCAAAGACACCAAGAAAACACCAACTTTGAGCATGTTCATTTGTCTCATAATTAACGACACTGCCTCATTAGAGATTAAACCTTGCCAGGCAGATAAGCATTTTCCAAGTTCAGTTATATTTATCCCAAATTTGCCTGAAATTCCATCAAGGAGAGTTGCAAGGTAGTTAATTAACTGTTTAAGCAAAGATAACAAATCTTTCACTTAATTGACTCCCGCTCCACCATTCTGTTCTTAGACATTACCCTCGAAAAAGGATTATTTAAATTGCTCATATGTTATAAAATTTATCTTTTGGTGGCTTATACACCACCAATATGGATAACTACAGCAGATCCTGTACAAAGCAGTTTGACAGCAGATAGTTCCCATATTTTTGTATGCAGAAACAGAATTCTCTAATTCGGGACAACTCTGTTCGACAGAAGTTTGACTCCACCATCTGTTCTCAGAAATTGTCCTTGACAAAGCATCATTTAAATTTCTCACGTAATGTTAAATTTACCTTTTGATGGCTTACACACCACTAATATGGATAAATCCAGCATATCCTAGACACTGTATTTTGACAGCAGAGTAGTTTCCATATTCTGTATGCTTGAAAAGAATTTTCTAATTTGACACAACAAGTTATAAAAAGTAAAAATTAAGAAAAATGCGGACGATATATAGGTGAACTGCTTAATATTCCGGAAGATAGCATATATTTATATTAGAGTGAAATTTACACATAAAATAAATCGATAACTTTTCAATATCTGCTACAGCTGGAGAAACTGCATACCTCAAAATTGATTTGTCAGAGAGCAGCTAGTGAAGACCTCTTTGATTACAAACTTTCAACATGATGGAGAATTCTAGAATATTGTTTGCTCCCCTAATTCCTGACCAGCCATTCCTTCTTTAAGTACTTTCTGAAAAAAATCTTCCAATGTATCTTTTCCATAACTAGGTGTCGCGTCGGCATTATATTCCCCCGTCTCAGGATCCCAAACCAACATACTCTCTGCTGCATAATACCTCCCAATCTTCCCAAACTCGGCTGCATCTTCCAACGATGGAAATATTTTTACAAGGAAGTCAAGCAACCCAATCGCAAAGTCCATTATTTCAATTGGGACTTTCAGAAACTTTGGTTCTTTCCCCACAAGTTTAAACAAAATTTCCGCTTGCTCTAATGGCGTCAACGCCTTCCCCGGTCCTCCAATTGGCAAAACTTGATTGATTTTATCCTCTTTCAATACACAATCAGCAATAAAAGAAGCCAAATCTTGCTCGCTTATCGGCTTACAAGCGCACAACTTTCCATCACCAAACATCACATAAGGTTTCCCATCTTTCACCAATTCAACCTGACCTCCTAAGCTCTTAAAAAATGCAGTTGGCCTAACAATACTATAAGTAAAACCATCATCCACTTCTGCTTCTTTCATCAACTCCGCCTCGAATTTAAGCTTAGCTCTTTGAAATTCAAGAAGGGGTTTTTGCACACAAATTGCAGACAACAAAACAAAATGTGAAGCCCCAAACTTTTTCCCAGCAACAAGACTATTCTTTGTTGCCTCATAATCAATCAACCAAGAATCTTTTACCCCACCATTTCTACTAGCAAGACAAGACACAACTACATCAATTGGAACCCCTAAATTCTCCACACTTTTCTCCAAGCTCTCCAAGTTAGTAACATCAGAAAAACACACATTAGCTCCATTTAATTGTTCCAAGGTATCATCTTTACTGTTTTTTCCTTTAATTCCACTTTTTTCTCTAGCAATGGCTATAACATTAAATCCTCTATTAATTAACTCCTTAACCACAAATTTTCCAATGTAACCAGTTGACCCCACAACTAAAACATTAATATCTTTTGGATTTTTACCTCTAAATGAAATCTTGGGGCTTTCAATAGTAGAGGCAGCTGAAACTGTAATTGGTTTAAGCTTTCTTGAATTAACTCTAAAGGGTACATTCACAGAAAGAAAAGGAATTGCATAAGGGACTGTACTTACCTGAACATGATTGATGAAATGAGATGACAAAAGTTGCCTAAAGTTATGGTCTTTAGTTGATTGAAGTGTGAGTCCACTAAAAGGAGCAAAAGCAGACATTTTTGTTTCTTTGAACTAGTTCAAGAAACTTGGGTGCTAGCCAAAGATTCTGGTGGTCTTAATCAATAGCATTTCATAGGGAAAAAGAAAAAAAAATATAGAAAGAGAAAAAATTTGAGGTGGTTGATGACATGGAAGTTGAGCTAGTTGATTTATCAGAATGATTGGTTGAGATTGGAAGGGGGAGCAACAAGAGAAAAACTTTATCTTGTCCAAAAGCAAAAATATTATTTGGGCCTTGGTGATAGATTAACCCAAATTCATGGCTCCATCAGACTGGTAGAAATGATACCACGTGATCACTTTAAAGGACTACTATTTAGGAATTAGTCAACGTTATGAAGTTCACTTTTTCAGTTTAATTTTTTGGGACAAAAATGTCTTGAATTGTCCTAAAATTAAAAAATTTAGTGTAAAATTTCAGGACAAAATAAGTGATGACTAATCTATAAATAGTATTCCTGAGAATGGCTATCTATGCACTTACCCATCGGACTGGCTTGCAAAAGGACTTGTCCATGAGACCATGACAAATTAATTAGCAACCCAACAAGCCAAGAATGGCCCAAACCAATGAATATTTTTTTTTAAAAAAAGTACTAACTTAAATAATCGTCCATTCAATTGTTTAAATTAAAAATAGTCGGTGGATGTATAATATGTATAATTTATATTTCATATGTATACAATCGTGTATAATTAGTATATAATCTATGTATGTCGGCTGGAAAAAGCAAACGTGGATCCTATCGACTATTTGTGTAAAGTTTCCAATTATAAACATCCCAAAAGTTGTTTCATTTCACTTTACTATACCTAGTTACACAATTATGCTATAATTTTTTGTTTGGTAACAAGCAAATTTTTGTTTAACCAAGTATTGATATGTAAAAATATTGCTAGCGCACTTGGATTCTAGAACTAGGTCAAAAAACAAAATCCCTATAGCTATCTAATAACTCCCCCTCTATCTCTTTCTATACATATATTCTTGCAAGACAAACTTAGAGAGGAAAGCTATTCAAACCTTCCAAAAGGTTCTTCCATTTGCTCTCATGTTGTCCTCTGAGGTGTAATTATAGTATTGTGTATCTAACCCTCGGAGTCAGTCGTCGAGTCACCTTATAGGAAGGGGTGTCAAATATAATACCCTTCGCAGAAAAAATATATTATTTAGGTAGGTAAAAAAATAAATTATATGTATATATATACTATGTATTGACTCTTCTTAATTTTCTGATATGTTTATTTTTATATATTTTGACACCCCTTAATAAAAATTATGGCTCCGTAACTGCTCGGATTACATGCAACCTAGTTTGTACGTGCAAAAATAACTAAGCTAAAGCTTTATGTACGTGCAAAAACAACTAAGCGTTAATCCCAACTAGTTTGTAATATCTATATGGATCCTCTCATTGTATTCTACTTTTAGCTAGGTCCACGTGGAGAATGTAGATCGTTTGAAACAACATCCATCAATCCGTATGAATAATTAATATGATTGCTACCTCGTCTCCTTTAGGTCTCTTAACCATCATAACATAAAATCATGGGTAAAATAAAATATTGATTTGCTTGAGATAATATTGAACGGAAAATTTATTTTAACCACATACAAAAAAAAAACTTTATATATAAATAAAGTTGCTACTGATGGAATGTGACTCATGAATTTAAATGCTAATAAACAAAGTGAATCTGCCATAGACATGGCTATCCATTGTATAAGAATCCATGTTGTAGATGAACATGGTTGTATACACAATAAGAAGACCAAGAAACTTATAACTTCATGTACTAGGACTTGTTTGTTGATATCTAACACTCCCCTATAAAAAGAATCGATCAGTTTACAATTAATCTAATTTGCACATAAAATAAAAAGGAAACGTTACTTTGAATTGGTAATTTTATAATATACTATCGAAAAGGAAAAAGAAAAATACACTCAAAAGAACTTTTAAGGGTAGATTTGAAGCTTGGTCATTGCAAGAAGATACTCAAAATCATGGACTGAGCAGCTGGTCACGGACAATTCCAATTCTTCTCTCGTATTTAGGATTGTGATGTCTTGTTCACGAAAGAAATCCTTAAACCATGAAGAAGACAAGTATTCTTTTGGGACCTCGTATTTCTTCCAATCCAACTCTTCTTTCTTTGTATCTTCGATTTCGATGTCTTGTTCTAATTCATCGAAGAAATCCCCAAACAATGTAGAAGTCAAGAATTCAGTTGGAACCTCATATTCCTTCATATTCATATTATTCGTATCTAGGGTTTTGATTTCTTGTTGGAATTCATCAAAGCAATTATCCACGAACAATGAAGAAGTCGAGTTTTCTTTTGGGACCTCATACTCCTTCAATTCCAATTCATCTTTCTTCGTATCTAGAATTTCGTTATCTACTTGTTCGTATGCATGGATGAAATCTTCGAACAATGAAGAATACACGTATTCTTTTGGAACCCCATAATCCAACTCCTCTTTGTCGCATACATACACAAAAAAAGTTGACTTCTTGCATTTCTTTTGCAACTTCTTGGGAGTTATGATGTTCTTCTTAATCTTGGTGTAGCCATTGTGGTTGAACTTGTACGTTAGTAGGTGTTGAACCGTTTTACAGAAACCTAATACTTCCATTGATGGAGCTTTTGAATCAATAGAGAGAAGGTGAGTTATATAAGAAGCTTTGACGTGAAGATGTGAATTAGTTTTTGGGATATAAGGCATATATATATATACACCTTGTGTTCTAAATCCTAATCCTAACAAAAATGGGATTTAGTGGCATTAATATTCTCCTAATTCGAGTCGGCTTCGTGTTGTTAAAGCAAGAAAAGAGGGCTTTCCTTTTGGCCCATTGTAACCCTGGAAACGAATGTGCTTAATTTTGTAAATAGGGTTAGTCGTTTTTTATCTTTTGCGGATGTTGTGACGAAGGCTTAGCACAAGCTGTAAGCAGTGAAGTTAGCTATATATTCTCCTTTGTATCAAAGCTTGCCTTCTAACGTGATGCAGTTTACTGTCTTGTTTTAGAAATGTTATTCATAGACTTTTGGTCTCAAAAAAGAAAAAAGGCATAACAATGCAAAAGTTACATTATTAGAATTTAGAGTATATATGGCCAAAAAATATTATAATGTTTAATATACTCTCTGGCGATAAATCACCAATTCAAGAGTCCTTGAAGGCACATGATCATAAGGGTAAAATAAATATATGGGAAAATGACATTGTATTGTCACTCTCAAAATAATAGTCAAATATATATATATATATATAAACTTATACAAATTTTATTCTTTGTGGCTACCGAATGTAAATAACTTAAAAGTGATTTTTCCCAATACTTAATTTTACTCAAAATTTCCAACCAACATTAAATACATGAAAAGTGTCTTTTGTAAATTCATTTATCCTTATATAAATAATTTATATTCTCACTATGATTTTTACTATAAAGAGTAAAGTATTTGTTTGATTTGAATCTATCTATATCTATATATCTATATACTATACTAAAAGCATGAAACCCCTTAGCGAAATGTCGTTTGCCTTTTTTTTACCCTTTAAAAATAGATTTCACATTGGATAAAATAGTCATTTAATTAATTTCTTAATATTTAGAACTTTAAAAATGACTAAAATTTTAATTATTAAATCTTTCCTTATTTGAGGTAGGTAAGAAGTTCTAAATTTTAGGGCTTTAAATCAATTGATATCAATTGGGTTAGCAGTGGTGAAGCCGGTATTTTCACCAAGGGGATTCAGAAAATAAAAAAAGTAAAAAAGTGTGACTAAATCAAGGGGATTCACAGGCTAATATTTATACATAAAATTCTTTTTTACCTTGTGTATAAGCAATGTAATTTTCCGGCGAAGCGGGTTTGGCCCCTTTCGCCACCCGGCTCCGCCCATTTTGGTTAGTAGAATCATGTACAACTTCTTTTGATCTGTAGAGTTCGAAGTCAGAAACACATTTATTCAGTGTTGGATGTAGATGTATATGTGAAAAACAACAAAATTTCGACAACTATTATCCCGAACCTAAAATTTTGATGGATTAACCCATCAAATTTAAATTCCGGATCCGCCTCTGCATTTATTCATTTGCTGAATTTACATGAGATATACACATTGTAAAGGATAGTAAGAGTATGATAATTCCTCATAGTAATTTGGGATTGAGACTTCAATTTATCTATCCGACGCCACCTAATTTGGGTACTGAGACTTAATTGACCGATTTGTTGATTGATAGTAGTGTGCATCACAAGATGTTATTCTATAAAGTTTAGTCTTTTGTGGGTTTATGTCTTCTACTCAGTTTTTTTTTTTCATTATGTTAAACGGAGTCTTGTATAAGCTTAATCATTGCTAGCTCTTGAATTCCATTACCATTAGTCTGAAATTTGAGCATATGGGTGTTGAGATGAATTCAATCAGTAGTTTGTGTGGAGCACATCTTATTAGCATGATGTTTCGGAGTTAACCTCATCTGATGCTAGGTGGGTAGTTTCTTTTGCATTGGAAATAGAGTTGATGATTGTATATTGTGCATCCTTTATGATAGTCATACTTTCTTACTTTTTGAGACCTTAGATCCATATGCCATACTAACTAAGGAAAACTAAGGTTTGAACGTGCAATTTGGGTTAATTTTCTTTCATTTCCATGCATAAATTGCATAAAGACTTTGACTGTGAAGAGTTAGATAAATAGATGTTTAAGTGCACTTTACATGTAAATTTGAGATAGGTGCTAGAGCAAATATAAATTTTAATAAGTTAATATAATTTATAGGTAGGTATTGCTAATCTCAAGCTTGGATAAAGTAAGAGGGTGTTGGTAAGGCTATTCGGCCGTTGTAAGAACATTCAAATTGTGATTAATCTTTTTAATATTGAAAACAAAGTAGAATGATAGAAATGGTTCATATAGCTGATCACAATCAGATTGAGTTTGACGTGTAGATGATGATGAATGTATAGGCAGGAGCCTTAGCTAATTATTCTATTCTTATGTCTGTGTGACTCATGGGGGAGCTAGGGTGGCAGAAGCGGGTTCATTCGAACCCCATTCACTGGAAATTACATTGTATACATTGTATATACAAGGTTAAGATTATTTTCTTTTTATATATATAGTAGATGATGAATTC